CACAAACCCTGAACCCATACATCCTAGACCCCAAACCCTAAAGCCACAAACCCTAAACGCTAAACCCATACATCCCAAACCCCAAACCCTAAACCCACAAACCCTAAACGCCAAACCCATACATCCTAAGCCCCAAACCCTAAACCCACAAACCCTGAACCCCCAACCCCGAACCCTCCAGGGCCCCGACAGCTCCGGGAGGATCTGCGAGGAGAGGAGGTCCCGAATCCGGACCCTTCCCGTCCGTTTGGGATCCTCAGAAGATTCGGGCCCCTTTTTTGGGGGGCTTAGGGTTTTGGGGCTTAGGGTTTAGAGGGTTTAGGGGTTTAGGGGTTTAGGGGTTTAGGGGTTTAGGGGTTTAGGGGTTTAGGGGTTTAGGGGTTTAGGGCTTAGGGTCTCGGATTCAGGGTTTAGGGTTCAAGGGTTTAGGGTTTGGGGCTCCTTTCCGGGCTTCCTTTATAGGGCTCTATAGGGTGCTATAGGTTTCAGGGTTGAGGGTTTTGAGTTTAGGGTTGTGCGTTTCGGGGTTAGGGTCTTGGGACGTGAGTTGAGGGTCTTGGGGGCTTCGAGATGAGGGTTTAGGGTTTGGGGTTTAGGGCTTTGGGTTTGGAGTGTTGTATACAAGCTTTTGACTGGATTCAGCAGGGTTTGTATTGTAAGGTTTCAATATGCATTCCATTGGGTTTTCGAATCAAGGGTTTTGGGTGTTGGGGGGATTGGTTGCTGGATTTACGCCTAGAGTTCCCAGACGATTCCGACGCCTGCGTCTAATGCAGTCCAGCGAGTTTTTGGGTGTCTGGTTAAAGTCAGGAGTTGTGGCTTGGGGTGTAAGGTTGCCCTCGCCCCTAGACCCCACAGCCTTGACGCTGAGGGCGCTCCGAGGCCTAAAAGCCGAGGGCCAGACGAGGAAGAAGAAGAATTTCCGCACCGCGGTGAAAACGTAGAAGGGATAAAACCTTCACGTAGCAAGTACAGGTCTGAGCTTTGGCTTGAGAAGTTCAAGTTTAAGGGTTTAGGGTTTAGCGTTTAGGGTTAAGGGTTTAGGGTTAATGCTTCAGGATTTAGAGTTTAAGAGTTTAGGGTTTAAGGGTCTTCAACTCTTTTTGGGTTCCTCCCCCTGTCGGCCGAGTAGAAGGCCACCTTGGCGACACAAAAGTTCCCATGGTTTGGGGTGCCTAAGGCAATGAAACGCAGGGACTTTGTCCATCAAAAATACTACTCCGGGAAACTCCCCTAAACCCTAAACCCTAAACCCTAAACCCCAAACCCTAAACCCTAAACCCTAAACCCTGATCATGTCTCAGGTTTCGCGCAGTCCTGACTTCTGGCTGCAGCACCTACGGGCGTACAGCTAG